TATGCCATCATTTTCGGGTTGGGAGATATTGAGGTTTTTACGAAAACTACTTTTCGGGCCTTTTTGGGCCTGCGATATTGGTTTTGTCAGACCGTTTACTGTCTAACCAGTGAAAATCTGCGGAAAATTCGATTGCGAAAAACTTTGCCAGTTTTGGGGAATTTGCCCTCGAAAATCGCGCGAAAACCCAAAAATGCCCAATAGCTCGCTTAGAAAGCACTTTAGAGGAAAACGGAATACCAACTTTTTTATGTAGCTGGGCACGCCCTATCTTATGACGTTTTCCGAATTGTGCCAACTCTTTTAGTTTTCGAGATATTTGGGATTTTTTGGAAATAGCGTTTTTGGGATTTATTCGAAAACTCTCCGTCGCAAGCGTTTGGTAATATTTTCCGGGGATACCTTGGGACAATGCGGACATTTTATCAAGAGCACCGTTTTTCTCTAGCATGCTTGGTTTTCGAGTAAAAAAATTAAATGTCAAAATCGCTCATTTTTCCTGGGTCACAACCCCCAAAAATTTTGGAACAAAAATTTTTTTTACGATTTTTCCAAAACATTTTTGCTGGACTGGGCAGACGCACAAAACACATTCCCAAACGAGTTCAGAAGTTTCCCCAAAAAATCCCCCACTGATCGAGGGGGGGAAAACGGAAATCTCACCACAGGCTCTTATGGGAGCTGGAACTTCAAACCGTCATAACTTCCCCAAATTTCCCCCAAAGGGCCCCATTTTCACACACATAGTTTTTCCGGTATATTCGAACAGATTCAAGGAGATTTGGCAACGATGGGAATTTTGGAGGAAACGGTCCCCATTTAAGACCCATGCAAAATGGGTTCGAGAGTAAAAAGGCCTCAGAATCGCGGGTTTTTCGAAATTTGTGAGCGACATTGTTTTTTTCGGACGGTTTATTGCCTAATAAGTGAAAATCTGTTGAAAAGTCGACTGCAGAAAAAATTCACAGTTTTGGGAAATTTGCCCTCGAAAATCGCGCGAAAACCCAAAAATGCCCAATAGCTCGCTTAGAAAGCACTTTAGAGGAAAAGTGAATACCAACTTTTTTGTGTAGCTGGGCACCCCCTATCTCGTGGCGTTGTCCGAATTGTGCCAACTTTTTCAGTTTTGGAGAAATTTGGGATTTTTGTCAAAAAACGTTTTTGGGATTTATTCGAAAACTCTCCGTCGCAAGCGTTTGGTAATATTTTCCGGGGATACCTTGGGACACTGCGGACATTTTATCAAGAGCACCGTTTTTCGCTAGCATGCTTCGTTTTCGAGTAAAAAAATTTAATGTCAAAATCGCTCATTTTTCCTGGGTCACAACCCCCCAAAATTTTGGAGCAAACATTTTTTTTCCGATTTTTCCAAAACTTTTTTGCTGGACTGTGCAGGCGAACAAAACACATATTCAAACGAGTTCAGAAGTTTCCCCAAAAAATCCCCCACTGATCGAGGGGAGAAAAACGGAAAACTCACCACAGGCTCTTATGGGAGCTGGAACTTCAAACCGTCATAACTTCCCCAAATTTCCCCCAAAGGGCCCCATTTTCACACACATAGTTTTTCTGGTATATTCGAACAGATTCAAGGAGACTTGGCAACGATGGGAATTTTGGAGGAAACGGTCCCCATTTAAGTCCTAAAAAAGAGACTAAAAAAGCCTCAGAATCGCGGGTTTTTCGAAATGTATGTGCGAAAGCGACTTTTTCAAACCGTCGTCATCCAGATCAAGTGGGCACTCGACAGCAACCCACTTGAACCAGCGATAGGAACATTCCCACGCTCACTATAAAGTGTGGGCGGCGACCCAGTCGGCCCCCAGAAACAATGTTGCTGGCAGTGGCGGCGATCGTGGGGGTGTTGGGGGCGGCGGCCGACTTGCCCACCAACTACCAGTACTTCACTGCGGGCGGCATCGAATCCGGCCTGAATGCGGACGAGGCCACCTTCCTGCTCAACGGAAAGTCCATGTTTGTCTACAGTGGCGCCATCCACTACTTCCGGGTGCCGCGCCCCTATTGGAGGGACCGTTTGAGGAAGTTGAGGGCCGCCGGCTTCAACACGGTGGAAACCTACATTGCGTGGAACCTGCACGAGTACCAGTCAGGTAGGCAAAACATGTTTTCCGTTCGATTTGAGTGTTTGTTTGCGGTCGCAGGTGGCTAGAAGTGCTTTGTTTTGGTTCGCACACTTGACGAGAAATTACGCGAGTTAGCTGGAAGGTTCCGGTCGGGGGCGCTAGATGGCGGCTCTGCAACCATCTCACCGCCTCCATAAATTCCATTGAACTTGCAGGGGTTTTCGACTTTGGGGGCGGCGGCTCCGAGCTGGAGGACTTCCTCTACCTGGACGAGTTCCTGCAGACCGCGCAAGAGGAGGATCTGTTCGTCATCGTGCGCGCCGGCCCGTTCATCTGCGCAGAATTCGAGTTTGGCGGCTTCCCCAGCTACTTGCTGCGCGACGGCACCAAACTGTGGGTGCGCACCGACAATGAGTACTACATGGACTACGTCACCAGGTAGGGCGGGGCCTGCGTTTTAGGGCGGGGCTCTACCAATGGGCGGCTTTCAGGTGGTTCAACGAGCTGATGCCACGCCTTGCCAAGCACCAGTTCACAGTGGGCGGCCCCATTATCATGTTCCAGGTGGAGAACGAGTACGCAGGCACTGGGTATGGCGATCACAACTATTTGTGGCATCTCAGGCAGCTGATGCTGGACAATGGTGAGTCAACAGCGGAAGAACCCTATGAAGTTCGGGGCATGTGCTAAACGGCGCGAAAACTCCCCAACCGTTGCGGACCCGCCTCACGTTTATAGGGCAAAAATGCTCGAAATTTCCTTAGAATTCGGGAAATGGCCAACATGGCAACATTGGGCCAGTGCTGCGGGGGTTTTTGAGCCGAAAGCGCTTCAGCACCCCGCAGGGGCAAACGGGCCGAAAACCCCTAAACCGTTGAGTTTTCCTCTGTGGAGTTTCCGACAAAAAATCGCCCAAATCTTCCAAGGAACCCGAAAACGGGAAAAAAGTGCGGCGTTGCCAGTCAAAACAGTCGACTTTTGCCAAATTCCAGGATTTTCCCTTGAAGGCACTTAGTGGGGGATCTACATCGGCGAAACTCCCCAACGGTTGGTGTTACCACTGAAACTCCCGGAACGCAAAATGAGCGCAATTTCCCCAGGATTCCGAAAAGGTGAAACTGTGCAACATTGTCGCTGCGCAACGGCCAGTTTTGAGGGAGTTTTCAGCCGAAAGCGCTTMAGCACCCCGCAGGGGTAAACGGGTCGAAARCCCCTAAACCGTTGAGTTTTYYTCTGTGGAGTTTCCGACMAAAAATCGYCCAAATCTTCCAAGGAACCSSAAAACGGGAAAAAAGTGCGGCGTTGCCAGTCAAAACAGCCGACTTTTGCCAAATTTCCGGGATTTTCCTTTGAAAGCACTTAGWGGGGGATTCACATCGGCTCAACTCCCCAACGGTTGGTGTTACGACTGAAACTYCCGGGACGCAAAATSAGCGCAATTTCCCCAGSATTCCGAAAAGGTGAAACAGTGCAACATTGSCGCWGCGCAACKGCCAGTTTTGAAGGGGTTTTCAGGCCAGCACCCCTTAACCCTTTGCCGAACGTTTACACGCGAAAATTCCGGATTTTCCCGAARTGTCCTGAACAGAAAATCAGGGCAACACCGCGAGCAACATGGCAAAAACTCCCCAACCGTTGGCGCCACGAMTAAAACTCCCCCCAARGATGCGGAAAWTTTCCCSAGGACTCCGGAAAGGGGAAACACTGCAACATTGCCCGGGCACAACAAGGGAGAGGGCAAAAAACGTCAAGCTCCACATGGCAAAAACTCCCCATCGAGGCCACGTTGCCAGCTAACCGGGCGCCTTTTTCAGGCATAGTCGAGCTGCTGGTCACCGCCGACAACCCTTGGAGAGGCACCGGCGGCACCTACACCGAGTACTTCCTGATGACCTTCAACTTCGACTCGGACGTGGACACCAATCTGGCAACAATGGAGCAACTGCAACCCGGCCGCCCCCTGATGGTGATGGAGTATTGGTCAGGTTTGTCAGCTCAGGGCCCCTCCGGCCCAATCACAGCTCAACCACGCCCCCTTCGACAGGTTGGTTCGACTATGTGGCCAGCGGGCACAAGACCAAGACCCTGGAGACGTTCCAGGCCACCTACGAGCCGATCTTGGCCCGCCCCGCCTCCGTCAACATGTACATGTTCATTGGCGGCACCAGTTGGGGGTTCCTGAGCGGCTCGCAGAACCTGGCCTATGACGACTTGAACACGCGTAAGTCCTGCGCAGGGGTGGGGGTTGGACTGCTGCTTGAGGTTTGATTGGTTAGGGTTCACGCCCATGACCACCAGCTACGACTACAGCGCCCCCTTGGCGGAGAACGGCGACTACACGGACAAGTACTGGCTGGCGCAGCAGCTGCTGGCCCAGTACAACCCCATCAAGACGCTGCTGCCTGCTCCCCCCGCCCTGCAGGGGCGGGNCCCTCAGCCTGCAAGGCCAGCTGAGCCTGGAGGCGCTCATTGGCCGAGCCCCGGCCTACGACACGCCCACCCCCGTCTCCATGGAGAACATGGACATCAACAACGGCAGCGGCCAGAGCTACGGCTTCGTCGTCTACAGGAAGGCGGGGCTGCGCCTGCCCGAGGGGGCGCAACTGACAATCGAGGGGCGTGTCTGCGACACTGTCATCGTGTTGGTGAATGGCCGCCGGGTGTCGCCACTGCTGCAAAAGGCCGCCGATTTGGACCAGTTCGGCACGTGGCGCACCGCAAACTCCTCCCTCACGCTCAATGGGGCGGAGCTGGAGGGCGCCCAGCTCGACCTGGTGGTGGAGAACTGGGGCCGGGCCAATGTGGGCGTGTACCGACAGTACAAGGGGCTGTGGCAAGGGGGCGTGACCATCAACAATGAGCCGGTGACTGGCTGGACGATGCACGCCCTGGAGTTTAAGAGGGCGTGGACCAACGGGCTGGACGGGTGGGAGGCGGTGGCCGCGGCCAATGAGGCGCCCACCCTCTACCGCGCCACTCTGCAGGTGGAGGGGGGCGCGGCCGACACTTACGTCTACATGGAGGAGTGGACCAAGGGAATTGTCGTGGTCAATGGGTTTGTGTTGGGGCGCTACGCCCGCATTGGGCCCCAACAGAGCCTCTATCTGCCGGCGCCGTTCCTCAGAGAGGGCGCCAACGACATCCTCATTTTTGAGCTGTTCGAGGCTGCCGATCTGGTGCAGTTTGCCACTGACATTGTCTATAACAATCACTAGCTGACGCTTTTTTCATTAAAAGCTTTCTCGTCCTCCTCCTCAACCTGATTTTGCTCCCAGTGACTTCCAGACGAAAATGCCCTTCGGGCTTGATCCAGGCCTGGATTTCTCAGCTTCCAGCGGCGATAAGTCGCGATTGTTAATGTTAAGAAAATGGGGCCCCCGTAACAGTTGTAGCGCAGCATTTTGAATATTAATTTCGCCCTGTTAAGTACACTTAGCATAATTGTTGGAATTTTAAATTATCGCCCGACACATAAACGATAAACATTCAGGCGGGTGGGAGCGCGCGAGCGGCAGCGCCCCTATCATGTTTAGGTTATGATTATGGCCGGTTTTTATTGTCTTTTAGGGCTGCGATGGCAACGTGGGTGGTGGCGGGGGGCTCACAGTGAAGCCAGCTGGCTGTTTTCGTCTAATG